CGCCTCGTTATTTTTAAACCCTTCCGGGTTTGAAAAGGTGTTTCAATATCGCTTCGGAAATGCCAAAAATAATGAATGTTTTACGAATAAAGAAATTAACGAACGAAACCGCACAGGCCTAATAAATAGGCCCTGGTGGAAGCTGTCACATCCCACTATCATCATTGCTGAGCCAGCCCAGGAAGACAAACAACTTTGGGACTCTGTTTTCCTGCCCTTTTGCCCTGATGGATAAAGCAGGCTGAATATTGAGAACTGTTGACAGGAGGAGAAAAAGGAGACTGGGATCCTTGACAGAGAGAAATGTCAGGCTACTATTGCCTTTTACAGCCGGCAAACAAAGCTTCCCTGCCAGCTGTTTCCAGGTCATCTACTTTGCAACTGATTTTTTTCTCAGTGGAGAGCAAGGTGCTGGCTTCCCAATCCACTTACATCGGGCTTCAGAGAGCTTAATATTGAAGCAAAAGAAGGGGGTCAGGTGGGGACTGCCGCAGTATGACACTATGCCCTGTGTTAGGTTCTTGAGTTTGCCAAGAACCTGTGTTAGGTTCTTGAATTTGCCAAGGGACTGCTGGTCATTTTGCTGCATCTGGAATGACCCACTGCACCTCTTGCAAACTGAGCTGGAGGACTTGATCTACAACAGATGAGGAAAAGTGGGAACCTATGAAAGGACCTGGCATGGACTTTTGATGTCACAGAAGTCACCTGCATTATATTTATATTCCACCCCCACCCCCCAAAGGCACTTAAGAAAGCATACTTAATCTTCCTCCATATTTATGTCTTCCCACAACAACTCTGTGAGGTAGGTTAGGGTAGAAATTCAGCTAAGAGAGACTGGTCCAGAGTAGTTCAATTAGTTGTGTTTAAACCTAGGTCTCACCAACCTTCATCTAGTACTCCATCAGGATGGTTCTAACTTGTGGTGTTTTGCATAAAGTTTGTTTTTGACAATTGATGTATGTTTCTACATGCCCATTTTCTTCTTCTTCTATACATTCAGTTATTTTATGCTGTTGTTTTTACATTGTATTTTAAACTTGTTTGGATGATAGGAGGAAGGGGATGAACTGTTGGGAAATAGAGGCAAAGGGTGGTGGGAGTTGTCTATTTATGTACACTGATGAAACAACTTGTTCAGTAAAATGTTAATTCCAAAGACAAACAATGTGACAAGGGTAGCTCTCATGTGAACATTGTTCCTGGATACTCCACAATCCAACGGCTTCCCAGAAAACCCATAGTTTCAGTAATCCTGGGCTTATCATTCAGATCTCAGTTTCTTCTGAGCAGAATAAAAGCTATGGCTCATAGGTGGAGCTGATCCATTTCATATGGCTGCATTTCACAGAGGCTGAAGAGGGAAGAGTTCTTTTCAAAATGCCAAAGGTTGCAGGTTGGACACAGGCTTTCAGAAACACTTGGGAACTACTAAGTGCATTTGGGAGTCTCCCCATGCTAATGTGCTGGACTTGTTGTTGTGTGCCTTCAAGTTGTTTCTGACTTATGGACAGAAACATGGGCTTTCTTGACATAATTTAATCAGAGGGTCCTTTGCCATCGCCTTCCTCTAAGGCTGAGAGACTGGGACTTGATCCAACTTTCTGTGCCTGATGAAGGATTTGAATCTTGGTCTCCCGAAGTCCTAGTACAAGACTCAAATCACTGCACTACACTGGCTTGACATGTGTAACTATTATTCACATTATCCCTAGTCAAGAATCCCATGGTGATGATGACTGGGGATGGTGGAAATTGTTGTCTGGCACACTTGGAGGTATCCCGATTGGAGGAGGGTGGTTTAAATGATACTGAGTTAAATGTATAAATGGTATGATACTTCCCAGCCTTTCTCATCATCTGCCCCCCCCCCCCAAGCTTCTGTACCAGCAGCATTTTCTAGGTGTAACAACCTAATGAGAAGGGAAGCATGTAGGAGAAAGTAAGATCTCTTCTCCCTACAGCCTGAGAAATAGGAGGAATCTAGCCAGAGGAAATGCATCCAGTCACAATTGCTGTGAGGATTGAAGTGATCGGAGGCAAGGAGATATGGACTGTGGGCTCTAGAAACATTGAAACAGCACATGCAACTCCCAAATTACAGCTATAGTCTCTATCCTAAGGCCCTTGAGCCTGTGTTGCTTCCTGACAGTTTGGGAATTCAGCAATCCCTACTTATACTTTCATGCATTCGCAGCAGCAATTGTCAATTCATACCCCTCAAAATATTGCTGAAACTCCCATCAGTCCTAACTCTTAGGGTAAGGGGAAAACTAAGAGATCAGGTGCTGCATTATATAAATTCCATTGATAATGTCTTAATCCAGTCTAGTCACTTTTCCAGTTGCTATGTTGAGCTTATGGAAGATTACTCTAGTCTGAGTTATCTGAGGACAATAATTGTCCCACAGATAAGGAAAGCATTTACTGACTTGCAGTTCTGGGCAATGCCAATCATAGTTTTGGCTGGCAGATATCGGAAAACTCCTGTGACCCAGAGGGAATGTGTATGTCGAGTTGGCAAAAATTGAGGATCTCCTTTACTATATCTTTTATTGACCACTGCAATTCCCCCAGCAAAGATTTTTGTCTTACTACCTGACAGATGGATGACTCAAAACAGAAAAAGAATTTTTACTCAGTGATCAGGGTCTAATAAGGCTTTAGTCTTGTGACAATAAAAAAATCGAGAGAGCCTTGTGAAAACTCATCAGTCTTACTGCACACTCTAAATGGTTTTATGCTTTGCATTAGCCATATCTGTTTTGGGCTGTTTGACAGCCACCTGGATGACCAGGGTTTTTAGGGCCCAGGAAGCCAACAATTTGTAAATAATTTTCTATTGTGTATGAATCCCTTGTGGACATATTTATGTAGATCTGTCGCATATATTTCATCTGTTTGTATTTTAATATGATCAATAACATGCTTTAATATGATCAATATGCATGCTTTTGGTCACAAATGAGGGCAGGAAGTAGTGAGGGATCAAGAGCAGGAAACTAACAATAGCAGTAAGGTTTGTGGTTTGACCATCTCTACTCTACAGTGGGAGCCAGCATGATATAGTGGTTTGAGCACTGGACTAAGATTCTGGAGACCAGGGTTCAACTCTTTGCTCGGCCATGGAAACCCACTGGGAGACCTTGGGTGAGTGACATACCCTCAGCCATAGAAAATCACAAGATAGTGTTGTCTCTAAAATGATTTAAAGACAAACAACAACAACGTCTGCAATGCTGGTGTACAAAGCTATTCTGGAACCTTAATTGGCATTATAGACAGCAACTAGCCAACATCTAAGGGATATACTGAAATCTTTTGGTACCCTTCAGGCTGGTTTGCTTTGAACACCCTCAAGAGGAAAATTGGCCTCTTGTCTGGTCCAGGGCCAAATGGCCCTTTTTCAGGGAAACAGAAATTCAATGGTTACTCTGTAAAATCAAGTAAGAAAAAGGTTTCTCACAATGCTCACATTTCCAAAGCTGTGCCTTCCCAAAATGAGTTACAGCCTATATGTCCAAGGCTGTACCCTGATGGTGGCCCTCAGTAATCAAAGACCATCTAAGTGTGTCCTGGTTCATCTCTGCTCCTGCCAAAGGATGGTGGGAACCTTCTCCTTATCTCTTGGAAGGTCAGGATGGGTCACAGCACAGCAGGAATCTCTAAGTGCATCAAACAGTACTTCCACATCAACTTTACTCCTCTGCAACAGTGGGAGGGGGAGATCACAGGCTTGGGACTCAATTGTACTGTTGGAAAGACAAGCTAAGACTAAAAAATTAATGTTTGCTTCAAGTGGATAGACTCATGCCATCTTTAACAGCAAATAAAGGTCATGGGTGAACAAGGGAGAGGGAAGCTCCCACAGCACATCATAGTCCAGGAGTATGATGATGTTAATGATTCAGGGGACAAAGCAACGGGAAGATAAAGCACTGGGAAATGTGAGGTAGGTTAGTGACTTCCAGAATATACACAGTAACCCTGTATCTCAATACGGGGTTGCTGTGTACACTTTGGAAGTCACTAACCTACCTCACATTTCCCAGTGCTTTATCTTCCCGTTGTTTTGTCCTCTGGATCATGCATGAGCTGAGCAGAGGATTATCCCTCCCCCTAGCCACTTCCCATCCTAATGGGCCACTTACATTTATGTCTTTTCCTGCCCAGTTGCATTCTTCTCTCCATTCCACTGGAGCAGGCCAGTAAATCTGTGGGAGCAAAACAAGGCAGATCATTGACATACATAGATTAATGAGGCTTTCCAGCTCTGTTGTTCATCACACTTGATGTTAGCCAAATACTATATAACCCCTAGTAAGATCAAAACCCCTGCCTGTAATGTAATCCAACATAACACTGCTGGATTCCCTTTGTCATGGCTCATTGTCCCTGTGCATTTTAAACGCTGTAGTAGGATGGGGCACACAATAATGTGTAACAACTAGAGTGGTCGTTCTGGATGAATTGCAAGGCTCATGTTGCAAGCCCAGGACTAAGCTGATGAATACCTTGCATACCAGAGGTCACCCCAATTGATTTGCTTCAATGGATTATTGACTAATATATTTATGGATCATCTTTTGGCATAAGACCATCCAGGAGGTATACAAAGTAAATATTAAAATAATGTTAACAGCAAAAAAAGATTAAGAACAGAGGAAATAAAATCTCAAGAGGAGTACAATAAAATCAGGTTTGGTATGTTGTTTAAAAATCAACGATCAGGAGAATCATGTCTTGATCATAGACATGAAATTGATGGCCAGTTTTGCAACTAGTTCCTGCCACACACACAAAAAAGCCCCTATCTAATATCCACAGATTTTCCCATTTAAAAAACTATCATAAATTCAGTGGGAATAATTAAAAAATTCATTAAAAGGAAAAAATGAAACTAAATTTTTTCAAGCATTTTATTTTGTTTAATCCTGATATGAGCATACTAAAATTTGCAAATTTTCCCTACATTGGATAGACAGAAATTGAGATTGAAAAAGTTTAAATATGAGAAAAAGCAGAATGTATACGATTGCCCACCCCTACTCCTCTCATATACCGATCAACTTGAACTTTTCCTGTGTTTAGAAGCATACAATAGGATATTTGAAGAAAATTAGACTGTCAGCATCACCGACATGACCCCCAGTTTTAGGGAGCCTGGCTTACACCTACTGTTGATTAAGCTTGAACCCAAGAAGACAGTTGAAATGATCACATCTTTCTGGTGCAGAAAACAGCTTCTACCTGTACCTCAATTCTAGTTTTTGATCCTGTTTTCCAGAGCTTGAATGATCACCATTTTGGATTCTAACTCCTAGAATTGTCCAGTCTGCATTGTCCGGGGTGAGTCTGGTTGTGGCATTCTGAGGGCTGTATTCCAAAAAAGACAACTTTTCTAAACTATAGTGTGTGTGCCCTGCAAATGGGAACAATGGGAGCACTCTGGTGTTCCATAGTAGAAAGAGGGTGCTCTGCAGAGGTACAGAGATGCCCTACATCAAACAACTTAGGAAGCAGTAATGTACCAGTTATTTAGTGTGAATTGTATCCTATATTACTAACTGTGGAAGCAAAGCTCTGTTTGTACTGCAGACACCAAAAGTGAGTCAGAAGATTGGGCATTTAACATGGCAAAGGAGCAAGGGACAGAGCTGGAGTCGTGTTCTGTTGTCCAGCCAGTCTTACATGACAAACAAGAAAAGAAAGAAAGCCCCCATCCTGCCCCAAAGCAAGAGGTCAGTGGAGGAGGCTCCATTGTGTCCCCAGAATGTTTCTCCTGCTGGGCTTGGAATGCAGCTTCTGTTTGCAACCAGCGGTGAGGGCACCAGCAGACTCAAGCCACCCTCTGTCCTGTTTCAGTAAGTAGAGAGGTTTATTATATAAGATTTCACGGAGGAGTCTGGAATGCGGGACCTGTTGTCATGACAAATAGAAAGTCCTTTCCATATAGCAAAAAGAGTCACTGTAGACTTCAAGGCAGAGAAGGGACAGAGAAGGATGGACACAATAATCTATCCTGTTAAAATCACGTCTTCTCTCTATTTCTTTTTTAAAAAACTTATATGCTGCCACTCAATATATAATTCTCAGGGTGGTTAAAAATAAAAGGTTTAAATTTTAAAGGTGATACTTTGGACAAATGATGAAATTGTATGAGTCATTGAAATCAATTATAATGTCTGGTAAAGTTGAATGTACAGTAGTAAGAAATAGAAAACAATAATATAGATGGATCAGTTCAGTAAAGCAGGCCAAGACTTCTCTGAGTTCACAAGATTTGAACAGGGCTCTTGATTATAAAGGAGGGGGAAATCTCTTCATTAAAGGACTATGATAAGAGAGATATGCTGCAGTGGTTTGAGCATCCATTGAGATCAGGATTTGAATACCCACTAGGAAATCCACCAGGTGCCTCTGGGCAGGATACACTCTCTCAGTCTCAGAGGAAGGTAAGGGCAAATCCTCTCTGAATGAATTTTGCCTTAGGACACTAAGGTTTGCCTAAGGATTGCCATATGTCAGAAGTGACGAGAAACAATAATATAAGTGAAATTCAGCTTGATGGCAAATAACATAAACAACTGATTATCCAGGAGCTCGGGCCTTTTTTTCCAAGCTAGATCAAATAACCACTTCCCACTACTCACAAATGTATTCAAACACATTTGAGATGGGCAGTCCAGCAAGGGAAAGCTGAGAGGTAGGCAAAGTACTTGGAACCTAAACACCAAGAAGCCAATTCTAAATAAGGCAGTGGTGGAAATCATGTGTACCTACAAATATTAGTGGACTGCAACTCTTAGAATTCATTTCTACTGCAGTTCCATAACATCCCTCATGACTCCATTCCAGAAATAAGGGGTGCGTGGTTAAAGAACGGGAGGGGGTGGCCTTGTAGGCCAGAGGTTCCCTATGGCTGCAGTCCAGCTATTCATTACCTTCTTGTCCTGCTTGCTGATATTGTCTAAGCTCAGGGATGCCAGGTAGTTTTTTCCACCCACAAAAAGCCGTCCTCTTTCTTCGTCCAGCAACAAGGAGTCATAGCAGCAGGAGCGTTCCAACTCATAGGTGCGTAGTCCATGGCGCCCCCGCAGATCTGGAGAGCAAAAGGACAGAAGGAGGATGTTTGAGAATTGCCAAGCACAGAGGTGTTGGCATTTTACACAACGTGCTGTTTACATTCTTAGAAAAAGGCAAGCCAGGGAGAATTAGCCGGAGCCAACAGAGTATAGCTCTAGCAATGATATGAAATGCAAACAATCCATGATTGATTCATGCTTTTGTAATTGGTTTTAATGGTTACAGATTCCCTTTGCTTACAGAAAGAGAAATAGAGTAATAAATGTTAACATAAGCAAGTAAAACCAAGGACTGTCAAAAGAGCCCATTCCCACATGTGTGGATTCCAAGGGTATCCTGAGGCATAAATTAGGAAGTGACTGTCCTTGCACAGACTACTAAAGTTCTTGTACTGCAATGGACAGTCTGTCACTTAGACCAGTAAGCCCAGGAGGCAAGCAAAAGAGTTTGTCAACATTCTCGGAGAGAAAAGCCGATTTTCAAGTTGTGACTCTACAGATGACCTTTATGCAACTTTGTTCAAACTCGTGCCCCTCTCTAGGCCCCTGAGCTTTTCACACCCTTTTGTTTCTTCAGACTGAATGTTTCTCAGGGCTGCCATTAAATCCCTTTGCTAACTACAAACTCTGACATTTGGAATCCCCCCAAACCTGAGCCAAACTTATGTATTCATTTTGCCATGTTTGACAGAAATATGTTTTTACAACATCTACAAAATGGAGCAATGAACATCTCAAACCAGAATTTCTAGTAATCCCCCCAATTCAATATTGTCCAAGTTTAGCAATCATTTTGTAGTGTTTTGCAATGAAAGCCCTATGTATGAGAACAGGCACTTCAGCTCGGGGTTCCTAGGGAACATCCCAAATATGACGTTGCCCGATTCACTCTAAACCTGTGCCAAAGTTTGGTAGTAGTTTTCATAACATTTTGTGATAAAACAAACATTTTGCAAAGCTCTATTAAATCTTTACCATTTTGCTGTAACCAGCAGAGCAGGTTCATATATTTTAGCTTTAAAGACCAGTGTGGGGAAGCCTCCATATTCTGGTAAAGGCTGCCATTGGGAAACATAAAGAGTGGTAGCCAGGATCTGGAAACACTTGCATGCCTCTTGCAAACTGAAGGCTTGTATTACGAACATTATCACAGCATTACATGAACACACTCTAACTGTGCATGGTTCAAACAGTTTGCAGGAAGGTGGCAGTAGGTAGAGGAAACACAGAACTCCTCCAAAACCAATGCCTATCCTACGTCAGATGCCATCCCACAGGACACCCCCCTTTAAAGACCCCTTCCCAATTGGTCCTACCAGCTTTAACAGGTTACCAGCCTCATCAGCAACATGACATTAATCTCCCAGCGCAACAGGCATCTGGATAGAGAAAGGGCCTTTTCTCTCCCCATGGAGCCTAATCTGCTTTCGGCAGCAGGAACAAATAAAGCATTGTGGGGAAGTGAAAGAGAACGGCTGGCAGGGGAGCAATCTACCCGTTAATGAGTTATTGCCTTTGAGGGCGGGCACACAGGTCCATAGGGAAGTCACTGTCTGGTCAGCTACACTATCTCGTAAGCACTGGGTTTCAGAACCTTTGGGTCCAGAAACACCATAGCTTTGGACAACCTCCCAGAAAATCCACAATAGGTTCACTTATTGTCTTTTATACCTGATATCACTCAAAGGCATTCAACAATAACAACATGTTTCACATCTGAGGGTACATTTGAACCTAGTACTGCATCATTACTGCTACATGATAATAGGCTTCCAATATTTTTCTATCCCAATTTTGATTTAAAAGGAGCTTTGACTCTCCCACCCCTAAAATTATCAATGAAAGCCTATCGGGATGGTAGCAAACCCTAGTACAAATAAAACTTGAATGAGCTCATTGACTTTGACCTTTAAACACTATGGATCTCTTTTAATTTGCATATAAACTGGCATGCTGCTTTGCACCTGACCAGCATAGTCATTCCACCTGTATGTTTACATTTTCACCTCCAGGCCAATCCCTACCTCATGTTCTGTGGGAGAAATATAAAGTGCATGGAGGGGAGGGAGAACCCATGCAAGAATGAATAAGGAAGGCAAGAGTACTCTGCAAAAATGGTTTTTAATCACATTGACTCTTGGCAAAATAGATTAACTGGGACTCTGGATTGTGTTGTATCCCCCACATAAGCTCTCTTAAGAATAAGAAACCCCTCAACAATCCTGATTTGGTGGGGACACCCCTCTATCGTCTCACTTTTCAGTTGCTTTCCAGTTCCTCTATCCTCCTCCTATTTTTTCTTCGTCCTCAGCTTGCTTCATTGTCAAAAACTGAGTTCAAAGTGTAAAAACAGTTTGTTTTCAATTAATTCAGCAGCAGGACAGTAAGGAAAGATGGGAGATTGTCCCTTCCTTCTTACAGGTCACATGGGCTAAGCCGAGATGCAGCTCAATAGTCAGCTGGGAGCAGCTGTGATGACATGGAAGTTGAGATGGTGGTGGAATGAGGCTAATGTGGGTCTGGCTGAACTGTATGGATGCCAACATGATGCCACACAGAGCTTGACTGAGCATGTCTGGCCTCAGATGAAGTGGCCAATGTGGACTCATCCAAAAATACAATAGGTCCTTGGTATCTCCTGGATTCCAGGACCCATTGTGAATACCAAAATCTGTGGATGCTCAAGTCCCATTATTCACAATAGCATAGTAATAAGGCGGCTCTTATGTAAAATGGCAAACAACTGAAATGAGTGTTAGCAATTGCCTGAGGATCTGTGGAATGGCAGGAGGCTACAGCATGGTATGCCTACACACATCCCCTGAAAATTTTTGATTCTCTTTCTTTCTGTCCAATCTAGGAAGGGAATTGGGCTTTTGAGATTGGGGGGGGGGGAGTGGTCAGTTAGTGTTCAGTATTTTAGTTTTAGTTTAGCATTATTTCCTGCCATATATATATAATATTTTTTATTCCTTGTTTTAATTTTCTTCTCCTTCTTGCTGTGTTCTTTTTTAATGTTTATTACTTTGATAGAATAATAGGCTGAAATAAATAAATGGGAGTAAGAGGGGAAAATCACAAGCAGGTTGCTGGAGTTAAAATGTTTCCAAAGGAATCTCAGTTGGGACAAGGGGCTGCATCACATTGTTGAGGTCCCCTGGGTTGATACACCAGCCTCCATGGCAAATCGACAGGACAGTGGGGCAATCCTGGCACCTCGTGCTCCACTGGCAGAGAAGCTCCCTCATTATAAGTGGGGAAGTGTCACTTTACGGCCTATCCCCATGTTAGCCCCATGGTTCCTTATGGAACATGGGGGGAGGGGGGTCTCAATCAATCAGCTGTGCTGTAAGTGTTCTAGAGTGCTTGTAGCCCATCGTGTGATGAGGACTAAATTCCTCCCCCAGAATGCTACAGAATGAATATCTACATGCCAGCATAACATCACTCCTCAACAATTCTGTCATTGCTGCTTCTTCTTTTTCTCCTTCAGTCTCTTGTCAGTGATCCACATGGCAAACTTATTGCCAGAGGATTGGGGCCACAGGCATTCTAGGTTTGAATTTCTACAGGGTAGCTGGGGAATCTAAAATTTGTCTTGCAATTCATCTGGAATTCATCAGAGTTTAATAGCCACCATGGTGTAATCAACTGATTGATGACTAGAGTTGCACAAGACAATTGTCTTGTCAAAGAAATATACTGACTGGTGCTGGGAAAGTCATATTCTCTTTGACTCCAAGGAAGGCAAGGGCAATCCTCCTTTGAGCAAACCTTGCCAAGAAAAGTTCATGATACAATCACCTTATTGTTGCTATAAGCTAGAAACCATTTGAAGGCACGGAGCAACAACAGAACAGAAATACTCCAATATGCTGCTAGTTTTGGTCCAAATTCCAGAATATAAGAAAATTTCAGGATAGTATTTGAAGGAGTAAATAGAGTTCAACAAAAGTGTATCTGAAGACCACTCCCTGGGCCAGTGCTTCAGCACCACATGTAGAATAAAACTGGAGATACTAGGATGCTTGGATCTTACAGAGTCTAATTTGACTTACAGCAAAAATGATAAACAGTACTTTGGCAGAATTGACTTATCAACAGTCTAGGATGTATTATAGTTCCATGAACTATAGCAGATAATCTAATGCGTTTCAGAAATCTAACATGTCCAACATTCATAGCAAAATGTTCAAAAACTGAGTAACATATAGCTCAGGAATGTGTAAGTAGTAGAAATATGACAATTCTAGGTCTCTATTATTAAACATTTTAACTGTCAGTTAAAATTGAAGATTTTTATGGATCCAGAACAGTCTATAACAGTGTTTCTCAAACTCTGTTCCTCCAGGTGTTTAGGACTTCAGCTCCCAGAAATTCCAGCCAGCTTGCCAGCTGTTAGGAATTGGGGGAGTTGAAGTCCAAAATATCTGGAGGGGCACAATTTGAGAATCTCTAGTCTACAGGGATGAAAGACATGTGGCCCACTAGAGATTATAGAATCATAGAGTTGGAAGGGATCGCAAGGGCTATCCAGTCCAAACCCATGCCATTCGGGACTAGACAATCAAAGCACTTCCCAACAGATGGCTATCCAGCTCTGGAGATTTTAATTCATTTCGAATAGTTAGGCATTCCCGGATGACTCTTTACCTATTCTGTGCTGCGTTTCTCCTACTGCATAATTCCTCCATTTTCCCTAGGGTGAGCACTGCTTTCTCTTGGTGAGAAGACTGAGGCAAATAAGGTGCTGAGAAGTTTTGCCTTTTTTCTGTTCCCTGTAAGAATTTTGCCATCTTCTCCTCACAGTACTCTATTATTCACTTTTCTTCCTTTTGCTACAGACATAACAAAATAGTCCTTTTTATTGTTTTTAGCCTCTCTAGCAAGTCTGGGTTCATTCTGTGCTGTAGCTTTTCTAACCTTCCTCCTACACCTATGGCCAATTCATTTTAATTCCTTTTTGGTGATCCTCCCCACACTTTTCCATTTCTTATACATGTACCTTTGAAATCTTAGTTCAGCTGAGAGTTCTGTACACATACATCCTGGGTTTTTAAGTTTATTCAAGTTTAATGTCCCATCAAATCTAATGTGTATTTGGGTTTCCTGTCACATGTCATGAGCAGTGGCAGAAAGTGCAATCTTTGTCATTTAGAACACCAAGGTAAAGGTTTTTCCCTGACATTAAGTCCTGTCGTGTCTGACTCTGGGGGCTGGTGCTCTGGGAGTTGTGGTACTCTGGGGGTAAGACACCCCCTTACTTACTTACTTTACTTTACATGTGGCTGGCATGACTCCACGGAGGGCCGTTACCTTCCTGCCGGAGAGGTACCTACTCACATTTGCATGTTTTAGAATTGCTAGGTTGGCAGAAGCTGGGGCTAATAGCGGGAGTGAGGCAGAAATATAGTAAATAAATATGTAAAATCTAATGTGCATCTTAATTTGAGTGAGGTCATTTAGGCACAAAAATTTGAGAATTAGATTCAAGTAAATAGGTATTTTCCTCCTCACTGAAACTGTCTCAAATTGTGCCTTCAATATCTCACTTTAAAGAAATTTCCATCCATCATGTTGTTGGATTTCCAACAACAGCATACAAGAGCCAACACTGAACAATGATGGGTGTTGCATTCAAACAACATGTGCGGGGCTCCCTCTCTGATTTCAGTGGACCTGATTTCCCCTTAAATTAAGCAATGAACTAGATGCCATTCTGTGGTTGATTCCAGCATGAAATTCAGTGAGATCATCTCTTTTAGTGCATTATGGGATCAATCTATTGTTTCATCCTCTCTGAGAAACATGTGCTTTTGTATCTGGTTTCATATCAGAACACCCATTACAAACAAATTGATTATCTCATCTGTAAAACACTTCCAGATACTTTCTAATATCCTTCTTCAACCTGGTGCTCTCCAGATGTTTTGGACTATAACTTCCATCATCCAAGGCCACTGTGAGCAGCTGATGTTAGTCTGCCCTTCAGCCAACATATGGCCTGTGTCTATTTAATACTTGTTGGTTACTGTGAGTCTTCCCAAGATCTTCAATGAGATGAACCTTAATCTGATCTGATTTCAAATCTCATGTTTCTTCTCTTCTCTCTCTTTGAAATATTAATATCCCCTCTATATCCCAAGAGCAAGATATGCACTCTGGACCACTTGGCAATGAATGGTTATGCCTTAAAATTAAGAAGCTCCGAGTATGCCTTCCTAAATTGTAATAGGCCAAAGAGATTCTAGTGGTGTTTTTTTTAAATCCCATTAGAGCATTTAAAATTGAAATAAGCCAAATACTGAGCTACATCTTCCAAACAGCTTGGTTATTATCACCCACAAATTTGGCCTGTTGTTCATTAATCTGTCTAGTCCTTTCTAAAGTGCAGTTGTACTGTTGCCCATGAACATATCTTTCTCAGATTCTTCCTATTCACTTTAAACCAGCGGGGTATAAATATCACAATTTAGTCTATGTCATCAGATAGAAGCAAACAAATGTTCTGGTTTTGGATTTTCTCACAGTACTTGAATTTGTACAGACCTCAAGTCTACTGTCTGCATTCCCCCCCCCCCCCCGAGCTGGAATTATCCACTAACTATAAAGTCCAGATTTTTGTGATACCAGAAGATAAATCTGACACCATGAAAACTCATTCTCTGGCTTTATATAAGATAAAACGACAAAGGATCTGGTTTTTGTGCTGCTTTTACAAGAACAGAATTACTGCAAATTTAAACCAAACGTTGGCTTTCCAGAGCTCTCACACATTTGTAGTTTCAGCATATGTTCTCTGTCCCAACTACAACCAGGAGCATCAGAATAGTGCAGAATCCAATTGTGTGTATCTTTGTAAAGACCACTTGCTCGGTCATTGCATGCAGGGAGAGCGAGTTACCATAAGATGCAATCACACAGCATGCTGTCAATCGTTACATTTTCTTCCAGTGCTTATCCCTACTTCACAGACATCAACTTCTGTCTCTGTTTACCATCTCACAGCTTGCCTCTCTGCGATTTGCTCCAAGAAAATATATCACCTGCAGTTGACCTTGTGATCAGAGTATTCCCCATTCAAAGGGCTAGGGAAACACTACAAAGCTGATAACTTGTTCATAGCTTCATAATGAAAAAGCAAACTCCCCATCCCATTGAAATACTCCACTTACCATGGAAGGAGAGTTTCAGGCGTGGGTTGGTATTGGTACCCGTGACTCTGCTCCCAGCCAGCAACAAGAGCACCAGTGCCTGGATCATAGCAATCGCTGCCCCTTTGCCTCCTTCACAAGTGCTGGACTCTGAACCTCCGGCAGCTGAAAGAGAAGCAAGAGTGAGATGGTCTGCCTGATCAGGTTACAACAGCATTCACAGGATGAATGGAGGGGAGGAGGCAGTGAAGGGGAAAATCCTCACCCCGCCTTAGAAAGGGAAAGACCCATCCAGATAAACACTGGAATCCTCCCAGACCTTCTTGCCTGTTTGATACTTGTCAAGTCACATCCAGAAGAATTACTAAAAAGATGTTTTCCTACAAAAATGTGGACTATGGCAGAGGTTGAGGCAAAAAGGAATGCATCTGAATCCACAATTAGGCTGCAGTTTAGTGAAGTAGATCAGCCAGAACATTAGGCTTGGAACAGATAATTTGGGCCTGAACTCCTGCTCAGCCAGGAGGTTCACTGAGTGCTTGTCTACACAGAATAGAAAGCAAAACATATGGACCCCGAATCCAGCTCTGGAAGTATTTATGACACACAGCGACTTTGGGTAAGTATCCGGAATGTTTAGCCCTTAACCTGACTTTGTTCCACACTTACACAGGATATTCTAGAGTTTGCAGGTCTAGTGTGGCCTGATGTTATTCACACTTATGTTGCCACCATCACACTTTCCCTGTGCTAATCAATATGGGGAAAGGGATGAATCATTCATGTGCTGCTGCCACTACTCCTCTCCAGCCACCTGGCCATTGTGTATCTCATCTGCTGAGGTCAGAATTTTGCACTCACCTTAATAGCAAGAAGAAAGAGGTTGCTCTACTCCTCTTCTTGCTGATGACCTCAGCAGACATGACAACCAATGGCCAGATGCTTGCAGGGAGCTCTGTAGCTGCCAAGAACCAATAACATTGACAAGGCTACAGGCCAGTGGGGCCAATGTGGTCTTGGCCAATGTGATGACACACAGAGTTGGGCCTGGTGACTGATCAAGGGCCAGTCTGGAGTATAATGCTAGTATAGACATGGTCTAAGTAACCTTGCGACAATCAGTAACTTACCTGATCTGCCTGAATCATACTGATTCACATATATCTTTTAGCAATTAAATTGAAAGAAATGTTGTTTATATAACAAAACTAAGGAGGCAAAGACAATAAATTAAAAATATTTTGAATTTTCAAGGTTTTTCTTAGAATTCCCACAGCTGATACCACTATTATTAAAATTTATCAAGCATGTCTATATCACCTTCCTCCAAATGCTTCAGTTGGGTCCCTTTTCTCAGAGTTGTTTTCAAGCTAAACTCTCAACTTTCTAAGTTACAGATCTATAGCATTTGGTACCACTGAGCATTTATATTGAGAACTATGTCATACTCTGGTGCTGATCCAATTATTTCTGCTGCAATGCTATAATGACACAAACATTGGGACTATGTTCAAGCTGTCAGCTTTAACATCTTCCAATCACATCTAGATGTGATGGACTGGATGTGGGCTAAAAAACTGAAGCTTAATCCAGGCAAGAAAGAGGTCCTCCTGGTCAGTCTTGAGGCCAATTAGGGTATAGGGTGGCTACCTGTCCTCGATAAGGTTACACTCCCCCTGAGAACACAGGTCGTCAATCTTGGGGTCCTCCTGGACTCAGCACTGATGCTTGATGCCAGCGGTACCAGGAGGGCCTTTACACAGTTAAAGCTTGTGCGCCAGCTGCGACCATATCTCAAAAAGCTTCACTTGGCCATGGTGATCCATGCCTTAGTTACATCTAGATTGGATTATTGCTATGCACTCTATGAGGGGATGCCTTTGAAGACATCTCAGAAACTGCAATTGGTGGAAAGAGTGGAGTCCAGGCTACTGACTGGAGCTAGCTATAGGGAGCACACGATGCCCCTACAAAAGCAGATTCATTGGCTGCCGATAAGTTTCCAGTCCCAATTCAAAGTGCAGGTTACTACCTATAAAACCCTTAACGGATTGGGTCCTGTCTGTCTTTGTGACCTCATTCCTCCCCCGTATGAACTGACACAGGCTCTAAGATCTGCCAGGAAGGCCCTCCTCTCCATCTCACCACCATCACAAGCCTGGTTGGTTGGGATGAGGGAGAGGGCCTTCTCAGTGGTGGTCCCTTGGTTCTGGAATGCCCTCCCCAGGGAGATTAGGCAAGTCCCCAAACTGTCCTCCTTCCATAAAGATCTAAAGACCTAGCTGTTAAAACAAACTTTTGAGAATGACTAGTCCCTAGTTACCTATGCAATTGTTATGCATTCAATGCCCTTTTCCCATGGTTACAGCTTGCACTTATCCCATTCTCAGCTCAATTGTTTACTGCCTGGCCATGTTTACCACCATTGGTTGATGAGCGCTGTCTTTAATTCAGTGTTAGTTGTTGTTTTATATGTCTATATGTATTATTTAATTGTATTCTTTAAAATGCTTTAATTTTATGTTCTGTTTTTAAGCACCTTGTGCTGTGTGTAAATCACTTCAAGTCCCTTCGGGAATACGGTGGTGGGATACAAGAATAAAGTTGTTGTTGTTGTTGTTGTTGTTGTCGTTGTTGTTTAATAGCACTAGTTTCTAAAGCAAAGCACCTTATCACATTAATGCTTGTAAAATTGGAAAGTACCCCAAAGGTAGCCATCTAACAGTGAAGGAAAGTCTATGAATTGCTGAGGTAGTCTGTTCCACTTCTAACAGCTCTTACCATAAGGAAGTTCTTTCTAATATTTAGGTGAAATGCTTTTCTTTCAACTTGAACACACAAATTCAGATCCCATTTTTTGTTCTATTTTGCTAATGTCTTTCTTAAATTGAGCAACCGTAGGACTCAGCATGCGATGAAGTAACTTTTCTTGTTGAATGGCAGCAATAAATAACAAAATAAAAATTTCCAATGGATCAAATCAAGGGTCCTTTTGCCCAGTACTTTGTGCATACAATGACCTACAATATGTGATAGGAAACCCACAAGCAGAACATGGTGAGCAGAAAATCACCAGACTGCACACGTTCTTCAGCAACCGATATAAAAAGGTGTGCTATCTCTAATACTTGGAAGTGATGATAATCATGACTGAGATTTATTGCTAACCACGCCTAATCCCCATGCTTCTTCCCCACTACCCCTGCTCTCCACTGGCCAGTAAATAACTATTTAGTGGGGAGGGCTGCAGCAGCTAAATGGTGGCTTTGGTGGGGGAGTTTGGTTGTTGCAAGGTTGGTAGAGAATTTTGATCTCTGCAACAAACAGAAAAGCAAGTTACACAGAATTAAGCTGAATTTACATCTGAGTAGATCACTAACAGGTTGCCAACCTTTGTGCAGTATCTCAAAACCAACAAATGTCATATGGCTTTCATAGATTACCTTATGTCCATTTCATTTGAGTTTCATAGCCAAAACAATAACATTTCTCTAGAACTATCACATTTTGGCTTTGTGCTGCATTCATTCCAATATGCTGTCAACAGTCCATGAAACAAAGAAAAACACATGTGCAAACATATTACTGGAGAGCATGGATTAGTCATGTACTCCCCAACAATTCTTTGAAGATAAACCTGGATTCCACAGAATAGCCACTCACAAGAACACAGAGGTGTTTATCACATAAATGAACTGAAAGGCTGAACACAGGCATCCTGTTGACTACAAAAGGCTTGGTGCAGGTCCCATATGAATGGGCCTTTAAACCTTATGAAGCCTGGAAAGAAGTGATGAGTGGAGTGCCGCAGGGTTCTGTCCTGGGCCCGGTCCTGTTAAACATCTTTACTAATTACTTAGATCAAGGGTTAGAAGGCATGATCATCAAGTTTGCAGACGACACCAAATTGGGAGGGATAGCCAATACTCCAGAAGACAGAAGCAGAATTCAAAACAGTCTTAACAGATAAGACAGACAGGGGCCAAAACTAACAAAATGAAATTCAACAGTGACAAATGCAAGATTTGCATTTCTGCACTTAGGCAGAAAAAAAAAGAAATGCAAAGATACAGAATGGGGGATGAGTGGCTTGAGAGCAGTACATGTGCAAAAGATCTTGGGGATCTCATGGACAACAAGTTAAACATGAGCCAACAATGTGATTCGGCGGCAAAAAAAGCCAATGGAATTTTGGTCTGCATCAATAGGGATATAGTGTCTAGATCTAGGGAAGTCATGCTACCCCTCTATTCTGCCTTGGTTAGACCATACCTGGAATATTGTGTTCAGTTCTGGGCACCATAATTGAAGAGAGATATTGACAAGCTGGAATGTGTCCAGGGGAGGGTGACTAAAATGATCAAGGGTCTGGAGAACAAGCCCTATGAGGAGTGGCTTAAAGAGTTGGGCATGTTTAGCCTGCAGAAGAGAAGGCTGAGAGGATGTGAGAGGAAGTCATAGGGAGGAGGGAGCAAGCTTGTTTTCTGCTGCCCTGGAGACTAGGATGCAGAAAAATGGCTTCAAACTACAAGGAAGGAGATTCCATCTGAACATTAGGAAGAACTTCCTGTGAGAGCTGTTCGGCAGTGGAACTCTCTGCCCCGGAGTGTGGTGGAGGCTCCTTCTTTGGAAGCTTTTAAACAGAAACTGGATGGCCATCTGTCGGGGGTGCTTTGAATGCAATTTTCCTGCTTCTTGGCAGGGGGTTGGACCGGCTTGCCCATGAGGTCTCTTCCAACTCTATGATTCTATGCCTTAAGCAAGGACAGGGGAAACTATGGTTTGCCAGATGTTGGTGGACTGTGACATTCATTTTATACACAATTGACCATGCTGATATGGCCACTTCTGACCTAAAATGATTTTTATCTATTTATCCAGAGAAGAAAGAACTGGCAGAAACACCTGTGAATATTTCTTGCCTAAGAAACTCCTATAAAATTCATGAAGCTGTCATAAGTTAACAGGATACTTGAAGGCACACACACAGAGAATTTAAAGTAGTGATATACAAAAGGAAATGACATTTGGTGTGCAATCCTGTACATTTCTCTTCAAAAACAAGTTCAGGGAGCAATACTGTTTATTCCCAGACCAAGGGATCATCTTGACTGGTCAAAAGTTTTGGGATTCGTCACAGTTGTTTTTTTATTATTATTATTTCT